ACCTCCAAACCTAATAAACACATCCAGAAATCTCTCCATTGTGGGAAATAAGCCCTATTTTGGAAATAAGCCCTATTTAAATGTCAGTTCCTGAAGAGTTAACTGACTTCAGACTGAAGAAAGCTAATTTAGTATGCGTGTGTGTGTGGACATCTTTCTCGCGCTAGGCACAGAATGTAAATATCACGCGGGCGAGGAGAGGTCACAGATAGAGGAGGGGTAGTTCGTTCTCATATTAATGCATTCAGCACTTACCAGTCTGTAAAAGCCAGCATGCCAACTCCCATAGAGCCCCGAGTCTAAAAATAAAAGATGGAAAACAGATAGAGAGAGAGAAGAGAGGTGGAGGGTGCTTTGCCCTCTTCTGCGCCTCCTCTAGTTTTTTAAAACATCAACACAGTGAGTCAAGTGAACAGGTTTGTGAGAACAAATAGATGAACGGCTTAAAAAAGTCACAGTCTCATGGATAAACACTCAGACGGATATCTAGTGGAATGCAATAGGCCTATCTATATATATTTGCTTTAACATATTCATTTTAGCACAAGTGTTGGCAATATTAGATTAAGTTTTCTATTATCATAACTGATATCAGGTCTTTATTAGCTTTAGTCTTAGCATTATTAGTGTTAGTGAGAGTAGGCTACTGCTAGGCTATTCAAATTAACTAACTGATATCAACTAAAATATCCTAATCTATTACCTTTAAATGCTCATTTATTAGCCAAAGGTTTACCATTAGTTTTAGTATTAGTGTTAGTTTCAGTCAGATTAGCTTTTGTAGTAGGCCTGTTGTAACGTATATACAGTACCTACTATGAGACACTATAAAAAAATATATATTTTAAAAAAGATATTCAAAATAGTAAGAATAGCATACTGGTATGCAGTTTCAAATTTAGCAGATGTATGAATGGCTTATTGAATTCATCCAGAAGCCTGAATAATTTCAGAATAAACACCACCGTGTTGATCGAAGATGCAATGAATGGCAAAATAGAACAAAACAGTCCATATTGACAATATTGTGTCTAAAATGTAGCTTAATTTTGACTCCGCTCTAACATAGGCTACTGACTGTATGCAACTTGACTTAATCATAATTAGAAAATGTTAAATATTAGTATTAATATTTGTATAAATGTTTATAACTTAATAATCTATAATCTAGTATTAGTTTAGGCATTTCGTTTTTTGTAGTATCATAACAACACTGACCAGTCAAACGTCTTTAATGCGACTCCAGACTTGTGCCGTATCAGAAGATTGTTGAAAATGTCCTGCAAGTGATAACAACATGCAAATGTATTCACCAGCTCTGACACAGAAACTAGATCACATTCCCTGTTTTGGTTTGTGTGTGAAGGTGCTTGTGTGTGTGTGTGTGTGTGAGGCAGAAAGACAGACCGAGCAGACGACAGGATTTTCAGAGCAGCTGTTGTGTTGGATTTCAACATTCTGCAACTCGCCGTCTCTAAAGATTCTGCCCTATTTTCACAGAAGACACACCTAAAAAGAAAGTAGAAAGTGCAGTTACACACAACAAACCATGAACATCTATTTTAATCAACATCTATTTGTGCTGCTGATCCATGAGACTAGCAAAAGCGTCCAAGGACAAGATCTTCAATGAGTTTACACATCATGCGCCACTGATACATCTGAGAATAAGTGTCACAAAATGGTTCTTGCCGCATAGCAGCAGCATGTCCGTTCACTGTGTTAGACTGCATGTGTTTAAACATCCATAACCTGGGAGAATGGGTGCTTGTCATTTTAGCTATATATGCTTAAATGTGATTTGAAAAATACAAAAGTAAGCACAAAATCAATGTTGCAATATGTTTCATTAGCATACTGTACGAGTAATGCAAATTTTCTCATGTGTTTTCGTAAATCAAACATTCATAACCTACTGGAATGTGTATCAGCTATTTTTTGAGCCACATATGCTCAAATGTTGATTTGTAAAATACGAAAAACACACAAATTTTCTTGTATGTTCTCGTAACACTCATAACCTGTGAGAATGGGTGTTTGTCAGGTTTTTTTAGCTACATTTCCTCAAAGTGACTGTAAAATACAAAAGTAGGCACAAAAACGGTGTTGCGATATTTTTCATTACAGTAATGTATGAATTATGCAGGTTTGCGTGATCCGTACAACACGCAAACAGATATAACGCAACACAAATGTGCAGAACTGTTAACGACAAAAGTCAAATAAAATGTTACATGCCGATAATTTTCAGTAACGGTACTTTAATACTTAAAAAAAATAATTATACTTCACCAAATATAGTGAAATGCTAATACAGCAATCAATAAACGTTTCACGGAATGGTATCAAATAAAGTCCAAAAATAAAGTAAAGGTAAAAACGTTACCAGACTAACATTTCGATGCCGTAGCTTTATGAGAGATGATAAATTGCGCAATTTTAGTTCAGGTGACTTGCGTAACTCATAATGTACTGTAATGGAAAATATCGCACCAAATTGAATACTTGCGCCAAATTTTGTGTCCTACAAATCACATTTGCTCACAAAACATGACAAACATATTGTTTCCCTTTCCACCTCAAATAAAGGCAAAAAAGAATTTTACAATAAGTTTTACAATAATTTCGCAATTTATCAGAACAATAATTTATAGTAAATGTAATAAATTATTTAATAAATGGCATTAAGAGACACAGCCTGGGAAATACAGCTGAAGAAACAGCTTTAAGAAACTGTAAAAATAGGTCCTACTTACATAAATTAGTTAAGTTAGCAGCAGTTAGTGATATTTTTTTTGCACAAAATTGCGTTCTGTGATGTGCCTATGAAATTCAATATCCATTCAAAGTGTTTTGTTGGTCATTTTTACATCAATGATAAGACAGAAGCTGAATTACCCACAGTAATCCTTCATACACATGATGCATCATTGTGATCCTATCCTACGGTTTTACGAGCTTCATAGTTTTCATGATCGGCTCTGGCCGCAGTATCAGCACTCCTTGTAGAAGCTGCTGACTTCACATGAATATCAGCATAAATATGACTTCTTAATGAGCAGGGAATGGTTTCAGCTTTCCACAGATACACAACTCTCCATAAATCCTTGCCTGTTACCCAAGATGCACTGCATGTGGTACAACTAACCCCCCTGAAGTTTGTTGTATGATTAAGATGTAGATGTTGTTCCCGAGTGTGTTTTTTTTTAGTGAAAACTTCTAGTGTGTCAGCAGGACAATGAATGACTGCACGGATTATGGATGTTTTATAGACTGTCGATGTGTTTCTTGAGAATGGCCTCTTGAGGACTTGAATTCGGCTGGCGCGAGACGTTTAAAACAGAGTGGATTTCACTAAAAGGAACAGAATTTATATTTAGAAACGGCTAAATCTTTAATCTCATGCCGCAGCAGCTCCGTTATTCATTTTTAACGGTGTTCCTGAGGAACAGAGAGAGTGTGTGTTTGTTTTTGAGTAATGACTTCTGCCATTCGAATGTGTGTGGAAACTTTAGCTAAAGACTAACGCTGGTGTATTTGAGCATGGTTATTATAGACCTTTGGCAAGGCTGGATGTTTGCGAGCACCTTTATTTAGTCATTATCCAGGCATTCAGAAACTAAATAGAACATTTTTTGAATTTTTGGAGTTTGTTCCTCCAAAAACAACCAAACCGGAACCATATGCTAACATTAGGGGAACATTCCATGTTTGCTGGGATACTGCACAGATAGGACCTAAAGAGAACATTTGGAATTGGTTCCCCAAAAAATAACCAAACAAGAATCGTCCACTAACATGTTGAATGTTCTGTGTTTGCTGATATATTTCTACACTACAAAAAATACAACCTGAAGAGAACATTCATAGAACGTTTGGAGTCTGTTCCCCCAAAAATAGGTTTACACTACACTACACAGCAATTGGGTTGTTTTGACCCAGTTTTGTCCCTATTTTACCCAGCACTGGGTTGTATTTAACCCAGCATTTTTTAGAGTGTATACTGTACCATATTTCACTCTAAATTCTTATTCTTTACCATACTGTGTAGTGTTTTCTGTATTGCTGTACTGTACAATCAATTGCACAAGGAAAATAGATGCATAAGTTACTGTCCTGAAACACAGACCTGGGTACTTTTGAGAGTTTGGCTGACCCTGTAGAGGTGGGTGGAATATCTCGGATCACTCATCCAGTCTCAGGTTAGAGGATTCAGATGCATTAGAGGTCAATATAAAGTCGATAACTGGACACAAGCCACACTGCCGTTTGGGTAGCTCAGCTCCACACAATGTGCTGACATCACAGTGGGAAGAGATGAAATCTGATCCAGGCCACTTTACTTGCTGGCAATCATTCAAACACACAGTTTTACAGCAGGGGAATGCATAATGTTTAGATATGTATTTGAGACAAACACTTACAGTATCAAAATCAATATTAACACTATATTCTTCCTGAATGCCGGAGTGGATGGTGACTGCAAACAAGCTGTGAAAAGTAAAGGAATTGAAATTCACATTAATTCATAACATTTCCATTACCGGCATAGCATATTGTTAAAGGGATTATCTGTTTAACTAATGGACTTTTAATAGTAAAATTTATTAATTTATTTTAAAATATTTTAAAAACACTCCACATTTAAAAATCATCTGTATGTATTTGTTTGTTTGTTTAAATATAACAATATTTAAAAAAAATTAAACACTTCACATTTAAAGTTTGTTCAACTAATAAACTTAATTAATTATTTAATTTAATTAAACTTAATTATCTAAATTAATTAAACTAAATTAATGATTTAATTTAAAAGATAGTTTATTTATTAATTTTTTTATAGTTAATTAATGAATTAATTAAAAACAATATTTTGTAAAATTAAACGCTTCACATTTACAGTTTTTCCAACTTATGAACTCTCTTTTTATTTTTGTATGTATTTATTATAAAAAAAAGATAATAATAAAAAAAACACACATTTAACATTTTTCCAACTAATGAACCGTTTTAAAGGTAAAAAATTAATTATTTAAACACTTGACAATTAAAGTTTGTCCAACTAATTAACTATTTTTTAAAATGGTAAAATTTATTAATTCATTTAAAATAAAATAAAAAAATTTTTAAGTTTAAATCATTTTCATTTGAACTAACTTTTCCTCTTCTTTTGTAGCTGTTTCTATAATGCGGCATAGTGCATCAGCGTTTGGGTTTGCTGTAAGTATGTGAACACATCATATCATTAAATGGTCATTATTTCACAGTCTTTAATGCTTTAATGCTTCACTTCATCAGTGTGGTTCATTTGTTTGCAGTTTGATGCCATTCTGGATGTCCTGTCCTCCATAATCGTGATTTGGCGATACAGTAATGCGGCGGCTGTCCATTCAGCACACAGAGAATACATGTGAGTACATGTGATCCTTCCTCTATTAAAGCAAACATGGGGGACGTGGTATAGTTTGTGCTCTGCGGGGGATTCTGAGTAGTGTCAGTAGCCAATTAGACATCGTTTCTGGGCAACAAGGAGTGCAGAAGGTTAGACTGATCTTTCAAGGTAACGATGTTGAGATTTTGACATGCTGAAGGAGAACATTAGTGGGCGTTTTGTGGTCAAACGAGAAGCACAACTAATTATCTAACCAAATAGTGGTCGTTAAAATGATCATGTTTTCAGATGTGCTGTATCTTTAAGACAAAATTAGCTTAATTTACCTAAGCAGGTTAAAGCAGGTTAACGTTTTCTAAAGACCACCAGCTTTGATGGATGGAGGCCAGGCAGACAGACTCTCCGGTCCCACAGGAAGTGGCCCCGCTCTGGGTTTCATGTCTAAAGAGGGTCTTTAGACAGTCTCTTTCTGTGTTCAGTATCCCTTATCGGCTGAAGGACAGAATAGAGATGGCAAAAGGGCGGTAGGGCTTTGTGAACGGAAAGAAAGAACAGGAAGCAGAGAAAGAGAGACACAGGACAAAGGCAGAAGTGTGGTTGCATCAGCCGACAAGATAGTACAGTGCAGACACACACATTAATGACTCCGTTTGTAATGTGCCATGAAGCCATGGGTCTCTGGGGGAATCTGCCGGGATGTGGATCGCCGTGGAGACAGATTACATCATAACGTGGGCTGCATTAGCAAGATGAAATATCCACTGGACTCCAGACTCATAAAGAGTAAAACCATTTGAGAATAATGATTTACCACTGCAGTTTTTAAAGGGGTGGTTAACTGGTTTTTTTCTAGGCTTGATTGTGTTTATGGGGTGCAGTCTAACGTGTTAATGCTTAGTTAAAAAAAAATTAACCTTTATTCCACAACGCTCTGTGCCTTCTCTGAGAAACGGGCTGATCTTTTCCTGTTTTTAAGAAGCCCTGCCCTCAGAAATAGGCGATGGGCTCTGATTGGTTAGCTAGCCCAGTGTGTTGTGATTGGCTAAACCACCTCTAGTGCGTGTCTAAACGTCCCGCCCCTCACCTCAGCGGCGGCATGTGCTCCGGTTGTATTGTAAACAACGGCGTCGTTAATATGGCTTATCAGTTTGAGCTCGATTGAGAAGCAGAGGATATTATTGAAGAGGATCGTGCAGAACCTGTGCAAGCACGGCTTTTAATGGTAGGCCTATGTTTTTTGTTTGTTGTTGTCTCATACTTTTAGATATGCTGTTATTTGTAAATGCTACTGCTTATGTTAGCTTTTAATATACGGTTTTATCCTGATTAAAGCTTTAATACAGTACGGCAACTGCACGCGCGTCCATGTTTAACGCTTCTCATAGCTATGTGAAAATAAGTGTATAATTGTAACAGTTCATTGTTGGAGCTGAGCTGAATGAGAGAGAGAGAGAGAGAGAGAGAGAGAGAGAGATGCAGAGCGTGTGTAGAGCAGGGGAACGCGAGGAACAGTATTAAGAACCGCTGCTTTAGAACATTGATTTTGAAACTTGTGAATCCACTAGAATCGTTAGAAGACATAATCGCGATTCATATATGAACAGATTTTTACGTGCACCTCTAGTTTTCTCTTCCTCTTCTCTAAAGCAGCGCAGCATGGCCTCGCCCCCTTTGCTGCCTTTTCCCGAGGGCGGGGTTTATCTGGGTTTGTGATGTCACAAACCCGGGAAGTAACTCGTTGTAGTCTCTACCAGCCGTTTTTGTAGGCATTAAACCGCCAGAATTTTAAAAGACGATATCTCCGTTTGCGTTGAACTTTCAGCTTCCTAACTTTACAGATATTGTTTATGCTCAAACAGCAACATTACACACTTACTAACGTTAAAAAAGTGAAATCGCAATCAACCACCCCTTTAAAGAAAATGTGAGTGCAAAAATCAGTGCGATGCTACGCGAGATTTCGCTGGGTGGTTGTTAGTTTGTGCTGAGTGATTCCTATAAAGTGGCTATATGTGGTTACTAAAGTGTTCTGACTGGTTGCTAGGGCATTGCCACAGTAGGTGGTTGCTAGGGTGATACTATTATGTTCTGAGTGGTTTCTAGGGCATTGCTACAGTAGGTGGTTGCTAGGGTGATGCTATTGTGTTTTGCATGGGGCAGTCGTGGCCCAATGGTTAGAGAGTTGGACTTGTAACCCAAACGTTGCGGGTTCGGGTCTCAGTTCGCAGGTTCGAGGCTGTCCACTGCTCTGTGTGTGTGTACACTCGGATGGGTTAAACGCAGAGCACAAATGCCGAGTATGGGTCACTCACTTGACTTTTTTTTTTTTTTCTAGGGCATTGCTACAGTAGATAGCTAGTGTTGCTAGGGTGTTTTGAGTGGTTGCTAGTGTGTCCTGCATGGTTTCTAGGGCATAGCTAGGTGGTTGCTAGGTGGATGTCAGTGTGCTCTGTGTAGTCAATAGGGCATTATTGGGGTGTTCTGAGTAGTTCCTAGGAAGTTGCTAAGTGGTTAGTAAGGTTAGCTCACACACACAAATTAGCTTGCAAATAGCATTTTGATTGTCAATCAGAACTTCAAAGAATAAATATGTTTTGTTAACTTTCTAATTAAAAGCAAGTTTGAAATGATCACAACTTTTCAGATTGAAAATACTGTAGATATAATTTTTAATGTATGTTTGTATTGATAAAAATATTTCTAACACACTAAATATTAAATTGAATGGACTATCAAACCAGACATGATCAAACCCATCAAACAAACATCTCACCAGCATCAGCGGGGTTCCTCCGTGGCCTGATTTTATGAGATAAACTAGATTAAATTAATCTGCATTTCTTAATTTCATTTTAATTTGATCTCCCGAGACTGTATCTAGCTGGGTGTGTTTGTTTGGTTTGATTAATTAATCACTAACCAAAACACAGACTTAACGGACTAAGCTTGCTAAACCCGTTATGATCCCTATGTAAGAAATAGAGCAGAAAGGCCCTAAAACTTCACCATATTTCACCCCAACTAGGCCTAACCCTGCGGCAGAGTAAATAGTGGAACAGATGTCTGCGCCTATTAACCAGGCTTGATTAGACAACTACAGCCCCCGCCGCCTTCATTTATAAACACAGGGCTTGACAGGCCTAATAAGAACGAGATACTAAAGCAAGCAGAAGCTTCAGAGTTGTGTTTTATTAAGTGACTCAGACACAGGAGACCGTGAACTCAATAAAGCGTCAGTTGGATTGATGTTGTGGTTTACTCAATGTACCTTGTGTGTTTTCCAGTGCGTGTGCCATCCTCGGAGTCGTGTTCATCTTGTCGGCCATCACTATCCTGGTGAAAGCGATCCATGATCTCGCCACAAAACTGCAACCAGAAGTGGTAAGAAAACAGCTAACACATAATTCAGCATCTCATTTGGTTGGTTGATTCATTTGTTAATTCACTGACTCATTGATCTATTCATTGCATTGGTTGATTGATTATTTCAGTGGTTGATTCATTTGTTTGTTCATTCACTTACTGATTCATTCATTGGATTGGTTGATTGATAGTTCCAGTGGTTGTTTGATTCATTTGGTTTGTTCATTCACTCACTGATTTCTTCTTTGCATTGGTTGGTTGTTACCTGTTGTTGATTCATTTGTTTGTTTGTTTGTTCATTTACTCACTGATTCATTCGTTTGATTGGTGACTCATTGATCCAGTACTTGATTCATTCCTATTTTTTATTTTATTTTATTTTTATTAACTCACCGACTCGTTTGATTAGTGACTGATTGATCCAGTGGTTGATTGATTCATTTGTATTTTTGTTCATTTACTCACTGATTTATTTATTGGATTGGTTGATTGATTGTGGTTGATTCATTGATTTGTTTGTTTATTCTTTATTCTCTCACTAATTTATTCATTGAATTGGTTGATTGATTTTTTCCAATGGTTGATTCATTCATTCGTTTGTTTGTATATTCACTCACTGATTCATTAATTGGCTAGTTGATTGATTGTTCTTGGCTTTTCACCTGATTCACTGATTGATTGTCGCAAACAACTGTTATTTTCTAAGCTGATTTGATTCTGTCATTTTCTAAATATATTTCCGTGTTTATTTGCTCTAAGCTTCCGTACTCTCATATCTTATTTCCCCGCTGGCATTTTATTGACTGTAAACTCCATTCAAGAGTCTGTCAGGTGAAGGATGCCACACACAAACACAACACTATCTTTTCATGTCGTCGGTTGTGTGAGTTCTCCCTCGGCTGGAACTAACGGCGCCTGCTAAACAGCAGAAGTGTAAAGCTGAATGAACACGACGGAGACAAGGTGTGAAGTCACGGACGAGATTAGAATAGTCTGATATCACTGTTGCCAGGCAACATGAAGAGGGGAAATAGTTTCCCCTAAACCAGTTCTTCAGTACCACTCTACTATCACTCACTCTCTCTCTCAATCTAGCTCTCCATCCGTCTTCCTGTTATGAAACAAGACACTGAAAGCCTTGGTCTGGTACTGCCTCTGTGGTGTAACGACTACTGCTACTGTACATTACTTGAAGGAAAGGAAATAATCCTCTTTTCAATCAAGAACCAATCAAAGCAATCACATTATGAACTTTGTGTCAAGTCTTGCTACTTGTTTTACAAATGAACCCCTCTTGGGTTCTAGAAACATCAGTACATAGATGCTCTAAAGAACCAGTGCTATTATATAAAAAAAAAAGATCCTAAGATGACAACGAAAACTCAAAAAAGTTCTACAATAACATATTGACAACTAAAAAAGTTTCTACGATGACATAAGAATTAAAAGTTTCTACGATGATATAGCTGAAAGGTATCTCTGATGACATAATGAAAACTAAAAAAAATGTCTATGATGACCTTAAAACTAAAAAATGTTCTATGATGACATAACGGAAACTAAAAAAATGTTCTACAATAACCTCAAATTAAAAAAGTTTCTATGATGACAACGAAAACTAAAAAATGTTCTATGATGACCTAAGAACTAAAAACGTTTCTATGATGACATAACGAAAACTAAAAAATGTTCTACGATGACATAATGAAAACTAAAAAATGTTCTATGATGACCTAAGAACTAAAAACGTTTCTATGATGACCTAAGAACTAAAAACGTTTCTATGATGACATAACGAAAACTAAAAAATGTTCTACGATGACATAATGAAAACTAAAAAATGTTCTATGATGACCTAAGAACTAAAAACGTTTCTATGATGACATAACGAAAACTAAAAAAATGCTCTATGATGACATAACGAAAACTAAAAAAGGTTCTACGATGACATAAGAATGAAAAGTTTCTATGATGATATAATAGATAAAAGGTATCTCTGATATAACGAGAACTGAAAAAGGTTTAATGATGACCTAAAATTAAAAAAGTTTCTACAATGGCAAATTATGAAAAGTAAAAAAAATTCTACCAAGACCAAGAATTAAAAGCTTCTACGATGACACAGCGAAAACTAAAAAAGGTTCTATGATGACCTAAGAACTTAAAAAAGCTTATATGATGACATAACAAAAACTAAAAAAAGCTTCTGATTACCTAAAATTAAAACGTTTCTACGATGACATAACGAACACTTAAAAAAGTTCTATGATGACATAATGGGAAATTTAAAAAAAAAGGTTCTATTATGACGTACTGAGAACTAAATAGGTTTTATCATGTAATTTTCTCATAAGGCATGAGACTGTAAACCTTTTTAGAACCTTTATTTTTAAAAGCTTAGCAAACAAAATTAGGGTGTAATTGAGAAGACGATAACCAGATAGGAGACATAGAGAGAGAGAGAGTCTGTGCTGATGTTTTAATCAGGACTCTGGCTTCTCTCTGGAGGATTCCTGTTCCTGTCTCAGCGTGTAAAGCTGGGTTTTGGCGCATACAAGCTCCACCTAAAAATAGATCCAATATTTCTCCCTCCCTTCATCTGCTGCTGATGTCAGAAACACTTCCCTCCTTCTTTTCTCTCTCTTCTTTTTTCTCACATACTCTCTCTCTCATGCTCTTTCGCTCTCTAATGAAATGTTAATAGGATGTTCTGAACAAGGTGTTTGAAATGGACTGCCCCATTTCGCAATCCCATGTGTGCATTTCTGAGAAAGATCGACTGGTTTTCAGGTGCTATAAAATCAATACAACAATCTTCCACTGAATAGTCCCATCTGCGCCATTTGCACTTCCTGTCATAAACCTACTAGATTAAAACAAAATCAGTTAAGTGACTAAATTACACAAAAAATACAGCCCTAAATAATGATGTTTACATAATTTTATGGTCCTGTGATTGAAACTACACACAAGACACACAACCATAAAAAATTATGATAGTGCAACTGCTACCAATTCCCCGTCTGATTCCTGGCAGAGATGAGATGGATGATCAGAGATGTTTCTGAGAGACGTTGTGGGATGTTTGCGGGCAGGCAGACAGCGTTTGTGATAAATGCGAGGGCATGAGGTTGTTTTTAACTCTTCAGGGAGGGTTAGCGTTGTTCGGCACTATCCGCGAGACACAAACCTCATTGTTTTCTGCTTTCTTCACCTGCCTGACATCAATATTGATGAGTTTCTCTCACCAGAAGTTCCATCATAGCGTTTTATGTGGAGGGAACAGATGATGCATTGACTGTCCTTTTGTGTCTGTCTGTGTGTGTGTGTGTGTGTTTGTGTTGGACGTTATTTTTGATGCTGGGAACCTTGCAGCGTTGTTTTTTTTCACATCTGCAAGGCCAGCGTGCAATTTTAATGATTCTGCTCGGGCTGAGAAGGCAACTCGCCACTCTATTCATCTTTTTTTTTTTTGCATCCTTCCATTGTCTCTTTCACCTCTGCACTCCTTATTTCCATTCATATTGCTTTCTTTTTAACATATCCATAGTTACTTCACATACTAGATTTGCATTATGCATATACTTACATGTGTGGAATACCCAGGTTTGGACTGGTTCAGAATACTAGCATACTATTTACTGCATACTGAGCAGTATACACTGTATACTGAAATAGTATGTATTATGCAGCGACATTTAAAACAATAGTATATTACATTATCATTAAAAGACCTCATTACTTTGCATGTTTACTTCAGCAAGTGTGCATTATGAAAAGTTTTGTATGCATAGGATAGCTGTAAACATGCACTTGTAACATGACTGCAATGAGCCATTTGACAATTTAGTATGCTACTGTTTGAAATGATTATTGCATACTGCATACTTTTTTTATAAATAGGAAACAGTATGGTAGTACTCCATTCAGAACATAGCCTAACTTTGGCGGTCTTTGAAATATTAGCTATCTACTGTACATATTGCACAGTATATACTGAAATAGTATGTATTACACAGCAACAGACATTTCAAATATTAGTATGCTACATTACTTTTACTTCAGCCAGTGTGAAGTATGCACATTTTCGCATGCATACCTGGAAACACGAACTTAATGAGGTCATGTGACAATTTAGTATGCTACTGTTTGAAATGTTTAATGTTGCATACTCACTTTTTTAATAGGAATAAGTACAATAATATCGTAGTGTCATTTTTTATGCATAGAAGAATATGATTATTTAGTATGCACCTGTTTGAGCTTTACTGTTGCATACTGAAACTATTGTTTTTTTAATTAGGAAACAGTATGCTAGTATTCTATTCTGAATAGAGCCCATAACTTTGGCTATGTTTGGAATACTAGCATACTACTAACTGCATAAAGCACAGTAGTATGCTACATTATTGTCAAAAAATTAATTACTGTGCATGTTTACTTCAGCAAGTGTGCAGTATGCAAATGTTTTATTCATAAGTGATATCAAAGTATGTTCAGAATAGAATACTAGCATGCAGCCGATGTGTTTCAATTAGTAGCATACATCATTAAGTGCATGTTTCACTTGATGTCATGTGACAACAATTTAGTATGCTACTAATTGAAACACTTCTGCTACATGATAATATTGTATTCTGAACATACTTTATGTCCAGAATGCTAGCATACCACTTACTGCATACTCCACGGTATATACTGTATCCACCTTATTCTTCAACGTGGAAGTAAACCATTTTCTGTTTATGTGCGAGACTTCTGGTTCATTAGCCCCTGTAGGGAAATAAAGAGAAGAAAAACAACATGCAGTAAATGGTTAAACAGTTTGCACTACAAACCAGTGTTCATAATTAAGATAATAAATTAAAATAATATGGTAAGACACACCAGTTCGCAATATAAAGCAGCAAAACGAGCTGGTTTGTACAGCTGAAAATAGCTGGATGCGGATGAGACCGGAAGCCAGACCCTTTAAATTTACAAATGGCTGCGCCCGCACTTTCGGAAAAAAATAAGGGGATACTGAAACAGCATTGATTATGCAGCGGTATAAATTTCAGTAGTTTGTCAAAAAACATTATTGTGCATGTTTACTTCAGCAAGTGTGCAGTATGTGTTTTTTTTCTATGTATGGATTGTGATAATTTAGCATGCTACAGTTTAAAATGTTTACTGCTGCATACTGTGTACTGTATCACACATTATAAAACAAGAAACAATATAATAGTATGCTGATATTCCATTCTGCTAGTGATACTACACACTGCATACTAGACAGCACATTCTGTATTTATGCAATAAGAAACATTTCAAACAGTAGTATGCTCATTGTTAATAAACCTCATTACCTTGCATGTTAATTTCAAGTGTGCAGTGTATAAATGTTTGTACATACACTTCATGAGGTCATGTGAAAACAATTTAGTATTCTACAGTTAGAAATGTAGCAGTAACTCTTCAAACAGTACATGCTACATTGTCATTAAACCTCATTACCTGGTTTGTTTACTTCAGCAAGTGCACAGTGTGCTTTTTATGCATTAAATGATTAAACAATTTAATATTCTACAGTTTGAAATGCTTAATTTTGCACACTGCGTAGTTTCAAGCTATGCCATTCCACTAACATACTATGTACCCGCATACTAGACTGTATTTATGCAGTGTATACTGTATTTATAAAGTGCTAAACACTTCAAACAATAGTAAGCTACATTAGTATCAGAACACATCAAAATGTTAACTTCAGCAAGTGCACAGCCTACATACTATATACTGCAGAAATAGTAAGAATATTATGGTAGTATGTTATTTAGAATATAACGTGACTTATTATTTGATCAAAATTTAAATTTTTACCCAAATTTGAATGCAAAAATACTATACTAAACTCACTGTAATGAGGTTGTGACAACAGTGTAGCATACTACTACAGTATTTGAAATGTTCACAGTTGCCTATTTAAAAACAATACACAGTATACAGTATATATACTACAGAGTTTGCTGTTCTAATCTAAACACTCCCTTGATTTCCAGTACAGCGTGTCATCATCAGTATGAATTGCTGTTGAATAAAACAGTGCAGTTGCCCGCTATGAACGTCACATTGTGCTCAGTATGATAACGCCTCTCTCTTTCATTTTTACCCAAATTTGAATGCAAAAATACTATACTAAACTCACTGTAATGAGGTTGTGACAACAGTGTAGCATACTACTACAGTATTTGAAATGTTCACAGTTGCCTATTTAAAAACAATACACAGTATACAGTATATATACTACACAGAGTTTGCTGTTCTAATCTAAACACTCCCTTGATTTCCAGTACAGCGTGTCATCATCAGTATGAATTGCTGTTGAATAAAACAGTGCAGTTGCCCGCTATGAACGTCACATTGTGCTCAGTATGATAACGCCTCTCTCTTTCTCTTCCTCCAGGATGACTTCCTGTACAGCGTCTCGGTTATCAGCGGAGTGGTGTGTGCCATTCTGTCCGTCTGTAAGTTCATGCTGGGGAAAGTCCTCACCAGCAGGGCTCTCATCACCGATGGTACGTTTCCCCGGAAACCCTCCGGGTTACCGTGGTGATATGCCAGCCTGCTTTATTATTCACAGTGCCGTGGCAACGTGTCTGGTCTGATTTCACCTTAACTCCTCCCATTTTGATTTCCGACCAGCTGGAAGAAGCAGGATTCCACACCTGAATTATATTTGGCTTAATAAACCAATTCCATCAAATCCCCAAAATAGTATTACTTTCAAAATATTAACGCTTTAGACATCACATTACAGATGTTAAGTTTGTTACAAAAGTCGTTCCAAACAGTTTCCTTTCTGTGAAACATGAGATGTTTAGCAGAATGTGCTTTTTTTCCATATACTGAAAGATGGAAAGATGGCCAAGCTCCAAAAATGACAACAAATATGTTTTTATGACTTCAGATGACTTAAAATACAACTCAAAAATAGTAGAGGCTACTTTTATGGCGTTTTCATTTGGTAATATAAAAGAAAATTCAAAATACTGAAAAAGAAAAGACGACAGACGAGTAGATGGAGGGTGCAGAGACAGACATATCTGCACAGATGGACGTGTACACACACACACACAGTTAAAATTAAAGCATGTGGCTAATTGAGAAGAGGTGTGCTAGTACTTTTCTAACTGACCAAACTTGCAACTTCTTTAAAATCACACTGAAAAAATAAGTTGTAGGATTTTCTTTGTGAAATTTACTAGTAATTTCTGATTGAATACAGCAAGTAGAATTAAATATGAAATTTGTTTATGAAATCATGTTTAATTTGTAAGTTTAGCTAAAAAGTTAAAAAAAAGTTTAGCTAAAGAAAAGAACATCTCTGATACATTCTGTAATTAGGAAGTTTAGTTTAATTAAAAACATATTTTGGATGTCTCATGTTTAGTAAGTTTAGCTAAAGAGGTTAAAATTTGAGCTAATAAAGAGCATTTTGATGTCTTATGATTAATTACAAATTTTAGCTAAAAATAACCTTTTTTTAAAGTTTAGTTTGATTAGTAAGTTTTGGTTAAGGTTAACTAAAATATATATATTTTATATCTCATGTTTAAAAAGTTTTGCTATAAAGTTAAAAAGTTGAGCTAATGAACGTTTAATAAGTAAGTTTAGCTTAAAAAAAAGCTAAAATATATATTTTTAAATGTCTTATGTTCAATGAGTAAGTTTAGTTAAAAAAAAGAAAGCGTAACTATTTTTTTTAATGTCTCATGTTTAGTCAGTTTAGCTAAATTATTTATTTATTTTTTGGATGCGTTATGTTTAATTAATATGTTTGGCTAAAAAGTTAAAAAGTTTAGCCAAAACTAATTTCTGGGTGAAATTAGTTTCAAATAACTTTGTCAAATAACAAAGAAATTAGAATTAAAGTAGAATTAAACATGAAATTTTGATTTATAAAACTGAAATATTTTCTTGTAAAACATACTCCGATAATCTTTATTTACACACTTAAGCGTTAAACTTTAAAAACAGTGCAAAGTATTTTGACACGTTTACCTGGAATTCATTTATATCACACACAAACACACGATCTGACAGTAATCGCTAATGTCAACCTGCACTCATCTGTGTAAACCAAGTGTTCCAGTAGCACAAACACACACCCATCGTGAATGAGCGAATCACACGGCAGCTAAACCAGGTGTGTGAAATTCATCAGCTGTCCAAACATCTACTACTGCTGCACCAGCTAGTTAGCACACAATTACTAGTCATCTCAAAATACAATGATTTATAATCTGTAAAGATAAATAAACATTTCGGTAGCACTTTATTTTACAGTCCTGTTCCATGTGTACATACTATGGAATTATTATAGCAATTACAATAACTGCAGTAGGTACTAACCCTGAACCTATCCCTAAATCTAACTTTATGCCATGTAGTTACTTTATACTGCCCAGTAACTTTCTTGGGTAAGTTACTGTAAGTTCATGCACTGTAAAATAAAGTGTAACCAACATTTCTGGTGTCCCATGTTTTAATTAGTAAGCTTAGCTAAAAAAAAAAAAGATTTATAAAAAAACAAAACAAAAACATTTTTTAGTTTCAATTTCAATTTGTACGTTTAGCTAAAAACGTTTTTAAATTTTAGCTAAAAAAGAAGGATGAGGGAGCACGGCGGAGCCAGTGGACTGATGGACCATGGCGGAGAGGAGGGAGCTAGGAGCCATGGTGAAGCCACCGGGTCGACGGGCCGAGGCGGAGTCCAGGACTCAGAGGCTGGAGGCGGAGGCCAGGGATTCTCTAGCCACGGTAACAATGGAGGATGGTAGACCCACCGAGCTCGCACCGTACAGATGGTGGGCTGAGGACGAGCAGAGGGGCTGCCAGACGACAGCGGTGGAGGAGGCAGGAGCGGGAATTTGTGAGCCTCCGGGCATTAAGGGCTAAACTCAAAAACGGGAGCCCTATCTCCTTCGGAGGTACACAGTCCCAGATCCATAATTAGCTCACCCTCAGCCACGGTGCAGGGATCGGAGCTCCTCTCCACACTCTCACTGTCCACGGCTTTCTCCCGTATGGCGGGCGTTGTAGTCGGCTCTCACACCTGGTCTGACGATCCATGATGCTCTGGCTTCGTGGCGATCCTCAGCTCTGTCGCGCTCCTAGGCGATGGCTCGTCGGTCGCAACGGGCTCAGGCTCTCCGTCAACGATGAGCTCGGGCTTGCGCTACGTGCAGCGGGGAGATAGTGGATTGGAGGTAGACACTCTCCAGACTCTCAACGATGCTGCGCTGAACTCACTGTTCTGCATCGGGGATAACTACTACTCGACCTCCCAGACCCCACCGGACTGAGCTGGAGGGAGGCAATCATCCGGTGGTGTCTGGGAGGTTGAGTAGTAGTTAGCCCCGATGCGGAACAGTGAGTTCAGCGCAGCATCGTTGAACGCTGTTAACACGGCGAGCTAACTGAACTCAATCGCATACTCCAAAAGGGGAAGGTCCTTGCGGGCAAGGGAGGTAAACTTTGCGGCAAAGGGATCCATGGGGAGCACAGGGAAACCAGAAAACAAAACACTGTAAAAACGCAAAAAATAAACGGAGGGGAACAACGCAAATACACTTTTTGTAGGTCTGGTGTTCTGTCACGCTGCTATGGCGTGAAGTGAGGAACGAGGAGACGTAGGAATAAACTCAAATAACAGTCTTTAATGATAATCCAAAGGAATCCACATAGCAGAACAGAACACTCTTAAATAATCAACTGAATGATGGGATGATGAGACACACCTGGAATCAATGAAACACAATGGGAACAGGAATGCTGCTATGGCGTGAAGTGAGGAACGAGGAGACGTAGGAATAAACTCAAATAACAGTCTTTAATGATAATCCAAAGGAATCCACATAGCACAAACACAGGGAACCAGAAGACATTAGACACCAGACGAGGGACCATGGAACAGAACACTCTTAAATAATCAACTGAATGATGGGATGATGAGACACACCTGGAATCAATGAAACACAATGGGAACAGGAACAGGAAAGACCAAATATGGGCATGAACACACGAGGGAAAACTAGGTCAAGGGGAGCACATGGGGAGCAAAACACACACAGTCCATAATCCTGACATTAGCACAGCACAAAGCTGTTTAATAAACAGTAATTAAATAATGTCGTATACTCTTGAGGGATTTCAGGCATAACTCTGTTTGTCTTTGGTGCAACTGTAAATATGCTGGAGGCTTTAGCTAAAGCCTCTGAAAGGGATGCTAATGATGTAGTTTTTTTGTTGGTTAAATAGCTAATATAATTTCAAGTAATTATTATAATAACACTAGCCTAGCGACTGTAATTAGCGCTTGACTTATTGTAATAGAAATGTAACATGCACATACGTTGAAGATTCAGGGAGTCATATGCAAAGCTCAAACGTCATCTGGATGATTTCCCACTGCTAATCGAACGCTGAATGACTTGACAGAACTTAAGCTGAAATGTAATTCTATAAGCTGTAAACTTCACCGGCTGTGTCTCTTTCCCAAAAGCACACAGTGTTGCGTTAAGCAGAGGTCATTTCGTTTGAAGTGACAGGCTTCGTCCTTCAGAGGTTAGGAAGTTCAGAGCTGCACATGCTGAGTTTAGCCTTGTTATTGTGCCGTACTATGCCAATAAATACACAGTGGTTTATTTATAGTTATTGTAACTTGTAAAGTCCAAACAATTGGCCTAAATTTAAGGTTTATGTGTTTGAATTGAATTGTAAAATTTCCATCCATTTAGATTACTCAGATTTAATATAAACAAACTAATAAACGTAATTGTTTTCACAATTATTAGATTTATGCTCCAAGCAAGTTGAATAAATGCATTTTTAAAATAGATAGATGCAAATAGATTGGCTTTTTCTTCTTACTGGTTTGATTGACAAATATTTATCACACTGAGTTTATTAGTTTATGATAAAACTGTATTATTCAAATGGTTGGAAATTTTTACATGCAATTCAAATACATAAATCTTATTTTAGGCCTAAATATTTTTTGTGTGTGACGGGAACAAGATTCAAACTTTCCCCTACCAGACTCGAACATGCATTGCCACATATACAATAATTAAAATTAAATTCTACAATAGAAAAGCCAAACATATGATAGAAAATTAACTATAGATCAATACCATATCAAGTCTAATTAATTAATTGACAGCATTATTTTAGCATCAATGAGGTACTATTCTAGTTTTTTTTATTTTTGTATTTTTCATTTTAATTTTTGAAATTTTATGCAGTTTTTTTGTCTTTTTTAATTACAGTTTTCTTTTAAATATATCTATATAGTTTTAATTATTTTTTTATTTCAGTTTTAGTTTTAGTTGTTATTTTAGTACATTATGTTAAGCTAAATGAAAATGGGAATTGTTGCCTTGGGAACTAGCTGAAATAAAATGTTCTTATATTTTATTATTTTACTATATTTCAGTTAACATTTATTCATATTTCAAATAATAAACATGTTTTTTAATGGTTTTAGTTGTACTTAAAGGGGTCATATGATGCGATTTAAATTTTTCCTTTCTCTTTGAAGTGTTACAAGCTTTTGGTGCATAAAGAAGATCTGTAAAGTTGCAAACACTAAAGTCTCAAATCCAAAGAGATATCCTTTATAAAAGTTAAGAGTCAGCCACACCTACCTAAAACGGCTCGTTCTAACA